CAGGTCAAAGGTCGCTAATTCTTAGTCTCAACCTAACTTAATGATGCTTGAAATGAGTGGATGATGTAGTGATGTTAACTGTCTTTGACTAAACTCCATATTTTAGTATTTATTTGAATTTTTCATTATAAATTTGTAGTTTTAGAAAAACTATGGCCTCGTCAGTCCCATTTTTGGGGGAAAATAAATTTTAAAATAGTAATTTTTTGAAAAAATATATAATTAAAAATAGAAAAAAAATTTGAATTTATGTGTAAAATTATTTATGAGAAATTTAGAAAAAAATGAAAATCAAACATAAGTTAAGCCTATGTTTAAAGTTTGGGTAAAATTTAGATTTCTAGTGAATTTTAATAAAAGTTAGCAAAAACTGTAGTTGAAGTTTGTGGATATCCTAAAGTGTTATTAAAAATAAGTGTAGAAAAAATAAATTTTAAGAAATGAGTGGCCAAACATGGATTAATTATGTAAGTACTCAGATTACAAAGACTTAATTTCACTTTGGAATTAAGCTCATTTACCAGAAAGAGTTTGACACCCTCCTTGACCGACACTCACATGTGCGTGAGACCCGCGTTAATAAAAAATTTCTAATAAGTGCTCTCCCTATTGTGAGTGTGTTGTGAACCCTCCCTGACAACATAGCATGATTCCATCACTTTATGCTACCGTGTACAACTGGACAAGAAAACGTCTCGTAAATCATTGTACATGCCTAGAGGATTGTTGCGGAGAAAATGCCCTAGTAAATGAGTAGTATATTTGTATTTAGGTATATTACGTGAGCTCATGGGCTCTATCTATGGAGAATTAGATGTATGGATCAACAAATATTGATGTTTAAGTCAATTTAGATGTGTAAAATGAATCGAATCGTTTATAATTAAGGAAAGAATAAAATTTAAAGAATACCCCAAAAGTCTAGGTAAGTAGTGGCTCTATCTAGATAATCTCGTACCAGAAAACATATGTCGTCCTTTGATATCATTAATTAATCAAAGTTTCTTTGCCTCTTCATATTTTAATTACATTTTTTCTTAACTAAATTATTTTGAAAGGTCCCCTTTGAAACATTGTGTTCTGCTTAAGACTAATTATCCGTTGGCATGTTCTAGGCTCCAACTTTGGTCTCCCAATTTGTACTCCAAGCCGTGTGGGCCTGTTTCACCCTATGGCTAAATTCTTGCTTATAGTTTTATGGGCAACTAAGATTTTGATAGATTTTAAAATATTATAAATCCTAATGAATTTTTTGGATTTGAATAAATTTTCATAAGAATCTCATCAAATATAGTGTAATTTTATAAGTTTTGGTTAAATATTTTTAAGATTGAAATTCATCCAAATCTTTTAAAATCCTTCTATTAATGAAATCTTTATTAATATATTAGTTGTCGATGATACCTAAATTTTAAAGGATTTTGTTGAATTTTATTAAAATTTCAATTGAGAATACCTAAATTTAGAAAAAATTAAAATTAAAATCCATCACAATCTCAATCGAGGCCAGGGTCATGTTTGATGATCGTGTTAATGATCTTACCAATATGCGTGTATGAGGTAGCTTCATGTTATAAATTATTTAAACCTTTTTTATATCATAAAAGATCGAAAATGTTTAAAATCTTGTGTATAATTGAAAAGTCAAAAGTACATACGTAACGAGAAATCATTGGAACTTTGAAACTAATGCGAGAATTATCCCCAACATTTGATGAAATAAGCACTTAAATTTCAAATTAAATAAGGAATATGCTACTGTACATAATGTCATGTCTATAACGGTGTCCACCCCCTCACATGGAGGGGAACCCACTTTGAATATATTATATTTTATTCGAAGTGGATTCCCCTCCATGTGAGGGGGTGGATACCGTTATGGACATTTCATTATGTATAAGTAGCATATTCCTTATAAAATAAATTTAGCATCAGAATCTTCAGCTTCTCACTTCGATGAACACGAATCCCTTCCGAAGGAAACATCATTGGCTATTATAGCGACATGGTTTACATTTCTCTCCACCCCAAAACCCCCGGTTCAGGTTCCAAAAGGTGTGGAACGCGGTGGAGGTGGAGACTGTGGTGACGACTGAAATGATTTTCTTCCCCCAAGACTTAAAACTTAAAAAGTAGTACCATAAATTAGGGGCCGCCAAAGAATTTTACTTTCTTACTCAAATTGGAAGAATAATCATAATAATCTAGAAAGTTGGCAGATACAATTCTACATAGTTGTCAATTGGGTGGGCATCATGTGACTTTAATTTAATTAGTCACACAACTTACTAA